GCGGGCTCCGATCGGGGCGAGCCCCCCGGCGGGGAAGCGCGCGCTGCGGTGCCCGGTCACCTCCCGCTGCCCGCTGCGGACGCCGGGTCTTTTGTCCGCGTGCTGGGCCGGGTGCGAGGCTCCTCCCGGCCTGAGGCGTCTGCCTCGATCGCGAGAGCTGACCTCTGCCAGCTGCCCCCGCTGGGGCGCGGACTTGGATGTGAATTCACGCAGCTAGCGAATTGTAAGGATTCCTCCATATTGCTCTGGATAACTTGCGGTATCGAACAGTGGATACCTTACATAATTCTTCCCGTCTCTCCTTCGGGTTCCTTCGCAGTACGAAATACTCGTTTACGCTGGTTTGGCGTCACCCCCGGCTCTTGATAATGCAACAGCTCTTGAGTGTTAATTCCTAGGGGAAATTTACGTGTTAGGTAAATTGTTGGTTCTTCCAAAGCTGTTTCTTTCTGTAATGATTTCTCTTCCTGGTTTTAGGGCCCCTTTTAAGGCTTTGTTCGCTGGAGGATGAACTGAAACTAGGTGAATAAGCGAACTGTTTGAGTTGTTTCATTTCTGTTTCATGGTCTTGTAGTCTCGTCCTCATGATTCTTTTGCCTTGCTGGACCCAGAAGGCTTTGAAAGAATCAAGAGAATAGTAGTTGTACTGACAGCATATAACCATTATTTAATAGTAATTTCAACCTACATGAGAAAAAATAGGAATGTGTAGTCTATTCTAGATAATACCCGTCAGGTACCCTACTTTTTATTAAACTAGTCTTGAAATACACTTAGAGAATTTTAAGGATTAAAAGTCAAATTTGTTTTTTTTCTCTCCCATACTAGCTTTGTCCAGTAGATTTTGGGATTTGGTAAGAATTTTTAGGCTGTGACTAGGTGAAAACGTTGGTTGTAATTTCTAGGAAAAAAGGAAGCAGAGTAGGAACGGATTCAGAATGGTGGAGGAACAAACAACTTTGCCTACAGTTACAAACGTAAATTGATCAGGAGTAATGCTGAAAACGGGAAAAAATTAGGAAGAGAATAAAAAAGGACGAGTAAGTAAATCCGGTAGTCTTAAAAATGATTGAGTCCATGTTTTAGAAAAGAAATGAGGCTATTTGTTTCCCTTTTTTGAATATATGAGCATTTATGGTATTATAAGGTGTAGGAAAAAGTTGACAGAAAAGTGAGCAACTGTTTCTTGTTTCTTTTTTCTTTAGAGTATTAACATGGTCTAGTACCAGCTATGCCTATATAAGTCTCTTCCTGAGTTATCTCTCATAGAAAAATGATACTTCATATTTGAGTCGTTCCAAGAAGTCTCATTATGAGACAAAAGTTCTGTCATTTATATATTTATTTTATGCTACTGAGCACTGAACCCAGGGCCTTCACACTGAGGTATACCCCTCAGCCCTTTCTTAAATTTTTATTTTGAGACAAGGTCTTGCTGAATTGCCCAGGCTGAGCTCAAACTTACGAGTCCTCCTGACTCAGACTTCCCAAGTGCGGGGATTACAGACATGCCCAACTAGTCGTTTTGTTTTTAATGCTAACTGGGGAAGTTACAATGACCCAAATGACTTGAATCAATACTAATTTGGATGTTTATAAAAGTCACCTGAAAAATTGGTTTTTAAAAAAGAGGCAGACTTTTATATAAATGTATATCTATCTGTATTCCCAATTATTCCTGGGGGTAAGGCTGCACAGTTAGAAGTGCTCGATGAAGTTGTAAACAAGCCTTTTGAAAAGTCACTTAAGTAAGCGACTTAGTAAACGACTACTATACACTCAATATTGTTTTAGACCTCATTACATAATAAAGTACTTTCGGCCTGGAGAAGTATGTCCGTGGATGGTGTCTAATATTAATACAAAGAGTGCCATACTTTGGCTATTGTACGGGAAATGTAATGAAAGGGCCAAGAATGAATACGATTGCCTTGGAGATATAGGCAACGTAAACTAAGGTAAGAGCAGAGGAGGAAAGAAGTAGATAAATTCAAGAAATGTTTTTGAGGTCAAAATTTAAGAAATATTTGGGAGATAGCACCATTAAGATATGGGCCAGGGACACAGCTCAGTGCACAAGTGCCTGCGTGGCAAGCACAGGGTCCTGAGTTCAATTCTTGGTACCAAAAAAAAAAAGATAGGGAGATTGATTAGGTGGTGGACTATTAAAAGTGAACGGCTGGGCACTATGACACTCACCTGTAATCCTAACACGTGGGAGGCTGAGGTAGGAGTATCCTTAAGTTCAAGGCCAGCCTGGACTACCTAGTGAGATCCTGTCTCAAAGACAAAAAAACTGCCTGAATTTCATTTTGGTGATGCCATTTAAGAAATGGAGAATTCAGTGAGAGTGGAGGCAAATTTGATGGAGGACAGTTAAGAATTGTTTTAAACAAATTAAGTTGGAGATATTCCTACTACATATGAATAGAGAGAGAACTCCTAATCTTGTGCCAGTTTCAGTCTTATTGGGAAGATAAGAATGTTTGTAATGGGTGGTATTGCAAGTCATTATAAATTTGCCCAGATAATAAAGGATTTCAGGAAAGAAAGAGAACCCTACTAGCAAGAAGAATGGAAAGGCCTTCTGAAGGAGAACTTTAAGCCTAAGAGGATGGAAGAACATTCTGATGGATAGAGTAAGAATGCGCTCGGTGTGAAAAGGCGTGAACAAAAGTCCAAAAGTGAGAATGTTGTTTCAGGAGGAGAGAACACTAAAATATTGTAGACTTGGCTGAACTGAGAGTTGAAAACAGGAAGAAGGGTTTACAATCAGGTACAGTGAGGTTGTAGGAAATGTAACATCCAGGCTGAGAAGTTTAGATTCAGTGTACTGGTAATGAATAGCCTTTATATGAGCAAAAGAGTTTTTGGGCAGGAGAATTACATAATGAAAACAGTGCTTTGGATGCTAATGTGGCACTACTTGTGAAGAGGAAAAAAGTTAGGTAAATAAACTAGTAAGATTAACAAGCTAGTAATAGAATAACCCAGGTATGTGGTAATGTACATTAGGGGTCTTTTTCATTTTGGCACTCTTGACATTTTGGGTAAACTAATAACTTTGTTGGGTGTACATTGTAGTGTGTTGCTACATCCCTGCTCTTTTTCTTTTTTTTTTGTCTTTTTGAGACAGGGTCTTGCTGTGTAGTTCAGGCTGGCCTTGAGTTTACTTTGTAGCTTGGGTTGGTCTCAAACTGGCAGAAATCCTCCTGCCTCGGCCTGCCAAGTGCTGGGATTACAGGCTTGTGTCACCACACCTGGTCTTCATCTCTGGCCTTTACCCACTGGATGTCACCTTCATGTTTAACAACCAAAAATGCCACTCCAAATTTGCTAAATGGTCATGGAGCAAAAGTTGCCCAGATTGAGAATCATTCCCAAAGACCTAAATGAAATTAAAGTTCTAGAAATTAGAATAACCTTGTTATATAATATATAATATGAAAATTCCATAGTGGTGTTTTGGGAGGTTTTGGCTGGTTGGTTTTCCTCGTACCTTCTTATATTGTCCGAAGTTTCTGTTATCCATTGCTTTTAAGGTCTGAAAAGGCAGCTTGGGGGAGTGTGTGAAAACTAAAACAATTTATAGTAGTCATTTTTAAGTCAGAGTACAACTTACAGGTTTGTTTACATTTCAAATAATATTTCATTTTTTAAAACAGCCAGTAAGGCCGGGGATAATCCCAGCACTCAGGAGGCTGAAGCAAGAGGATCACTGGACTATACAGGGAACTCAAGGCCAGCCTGAACTACACAGTAGGACCCTGTCTCACAAAATAAATAAATAAACAAATTAATAAAGTAGATTGAAAATAGCACGTAGATAAAACAATCATGTTGATTGTTTTATCTTTTAATGTAACCAATCACTAAGGCAGTAATCAGTGGGATTTTTTTTTTTTTTCCTTACACATTTTGTTGGAGGGAGAGAGAAAGAATGTTGGTCTTTTGACTGTAACTTTTAACAGCATTTTATCGATCTGGCTTTAATTTGTGCAACTCTAGAGGTGATGCACTGAGTACTATACTTTTTTCAGTAACTACTGGAGATCAAAGCCAGGGCTTCTGACATGCTAGGCAAGCACTGTACCATTGAACTATACCCCTAGACCTTTTTTTA